GCGATAATAATACAGGCCCGGCGTTTTTTGCGTGGATTGTGTGGAGCAATCGACACCTCAAAATCAGGTGAGTATGGATTTTAATACCCAAAAAAATCCACGTTATATTAATAATTATGCGATTTTAAAGATAATAAATAATGTATTTTGAAGTACGTGATAGTGTACTCGTATCAATGCGACATCGCTTTGATTCCGACGTTTCCAAACTTTTCAGTCGTTTCGAAAAATTTGTAAATGGAACTGAATCCGATGCAAAATCGTTATTATCTTTTTATAAAGATGATTTGGAGAAGGATAGTCTAAGGACACATCACCAACTTTTTTTGAACATCTTAAAATTTAAAATTGTAACGGTTAAATTTTTAAAAAATATAATGGATTTTTTTAACAAATCCGAATGTGAAGAACTTGGCTCCGGAATTTATAAAATTAATAAGATTAATTTTGATGATCCCGACTTTGTCCTGCACGGCGGAATCTTCTTTTTCGGCACTGAGAAGGCTGAAAACATGATTAAAAACATCAATGAGCCAAATGAGAGAGATTTAGCGGAAGTTGTGATGGATGACATTGATGAATTATTAAATGAATTTACAAGTAAAAATAATTATACAACATCCTCGTTCTTGATTGTAAAAATTAAATAATTAAGTGTTAAAAGAAAAAATTTATGTACTTGAAAGTTTTATCAACATGGTGGAGGAAGAAATTTTAAATTTTTCATCAGAAATTTCCACAGTCTTCCACACTTAGAGCTGAGACAAATCGCCGGGCCTGAATGTATATATTTTATCAACTTCGTTATCGTTTATATAAATGTCTGATATCATCTCTTCTAAGAATGCTTACACAATATCACAAAGTAAAATAGAAAGATAAAATTATAGGCGGATTCTTTGTACACGGGGCACATACATACATTCAATAATTTGAGAAGAATCGCGCAGATTCAGAACACGTGTATACATATTTAGTTAGTTTTATTGCGCGGCCACATGCCAGCAAAATTTCATATTAGCTAGACCACGTAAACTAACAAAGCAGGATATTACGTGTTTTAGCGCTACCTGAGTAAATTTTCCAAAGTATTTGACAAGTAATTTAAGATATTGTTTTAATTAAGGTTATAAACAAAAACAATATTTTTTTAGTAAGTAAAATATCTTAAAATTATTTTCAATTTATTATTATTTTACTCATTAATTTTATCGTATTGTTAATGAATTCTATAAAAAATAGCGTAATTATTTTCTTTTGAATTTGGGGTAGATTTGTACACAAGCATGAGGGTCTCTTTCGTATATGTATATTAGGATGGAGCGATTTCTTATCTCCTGTTGTGCATGTATTAAGAGTACAAATAAGTCTTCGCCGTTTTTTATCAAAAATTTGGCATTTATTGTGAAAGAACGGTACCTAATGTTTTATTCAAAGTATTGTCCATCGCTAGCCACTACTTTTTCCTATTTTTCTGGCAGCACACGGATACCGCGTTGGAAGAACGCTTTATCTTTTGAGGCTATCCACGAATCAACTCAATTTTTGGTTTCTTCATATGATGTGAAGTGCTGCTCAGACAGGCCATGCGTCATCGATCGAAACAAGTAGTAATTAGAAGGAGCAATGTCTGATGAATACGGTGGGATAAAACTTCCCAATTGAGTGTTTCCAAGTAGGTTTTGACCGGCGCCGCAACATGTGAACGAGCATTATCATGCAGAAGAATAATTTTGTCGTGCCTGGAGTAGTAGTGGGCGCGTTTCTCCTTGAGTGTTCGGCTCAATCTCATCAATTGTGTTTGGTTGAGAGTCCTAGTAATGGTTCCGTTCGGTTTGAGCAACTTATAATACACCACACCCTGCTGATCCCACCAAATACACAACATGAGTTTTTTTCCATTAATATTCGGCTTAGCTGTCGATGTTGGCAACTTCTCTCACTTAAAGGGTTACACCATCTTGACCGCCTATAAATCATAGGTAATTTTGGGAATTTTTTTTTAGGAAAACAATAAAAGTAACAAAAAATTCGTTTTAAGGCTTTAATAATACAAATTTTTAGAAGTAAAAAATATTTTTTTCATT